GCCTTAGCCACTTGAGCCACAGGCGCCGAGCCGCCTTGTCCTTTTTGAAAGAGGGCTTTTTGTTTTTTTATTTATTTTGTTTTTCAACTCCAAATTTTAAACTTAGAGTCTATGCATGAAATTCTGGTGGTGGTGGGTTTGGGGGGGTGAGGGGCCTATGAATCTTTTTAAAGTATGTATGTGGATGTGTGCACACATGAATATACATGTTTCCTGGGTGAAGATCTGGGTGAGATCAGATTCTCAACAGGGATTCATGGCCTATAAAAGTTTGAAAGCCACTTTCTTAGAGTTTCTTTCTATGTTTGAGTAAATATATATCTTTATGTTTATTTATTTATTTATTTTTGGCTGGGGTGGGGCTCAAATCTGTCACCCTTGGCATATGGGGCCAGTGCCCTACTCCTTGAGCCACAGGTGCCGCCCCCTCACCCCTTTTTTTTTGAAACAGAGTCTCAGTCTGTGCTGGGTAGAGTGCTGTGGCATTACAGCTCACAGCAACCTCAAACTCTTGGATTTAAGTGATTCTCTTGCCACAGCCTCCCAAGTAGCTGGGACTATAGGCGCCTGCCACAGCGCCAGGCTATTTTATATTATTTATTTATCTATTTATGTTGCTATTGTTGTTTTACTGGCCCGGGGCCGGGTTCGAACTCGCCAGCCTCGGTGTATGTGGCCAGGGGCCCTACCCCTTGGACTATGGGTGCCACCCTATCTTTATGTTTAATAAACATATGTCTTTATATTTGAATTTTGAGGACTAATACAATTAGATGTTTAGGATATTTTAATCTTTTTTTTTTTTTTTTTGAGATAGTTGCCCTGGGGTTGAGTGCTAGGGTATCAAAGCTCACAGCAACCTCAAACTCTGGGGCTCAGTGATCTTGTCTCAGCCTCCTGAGTAGCTGGGACTATAGGTGCATGCCATCATGCCTGCTTAATTTTTTTATTTTTTTGTAGGGACTGGGGTCTTGTTGCCTAGGCTGGTCTTGAACTCCTGGCCTCAACCAATCCTCCTGTGTCAGCCTCCCAAAGTTACAAGCATGAGCCACCATGTCCAGCTCCCTAGTCAGTTTTTTAGCTCTTCAGTTTAATTACCTGAAGTTCATGTTGATCAGTAAAAATGCCCTAAGCTGGCTCGGTGCCTGTGGCTCAAGTGGCTAAGGTGCCAGCCACATACACCTAAGGTGGCGGGTTCGAATCCAGCCCGGGCCAGCCAAACAGTAATGACGGCTGCAACCAAAAAATAGCCGTTGTGGCAGGCGTTGTGGCCGGCGCCTGTGGTCCCAGCTACATGGTAGGCTGAGGCAGGAGACTCGCTTGAGCCCAGGAGTTGGAGGTTGCTGTGAGCTGTAATGCCACGGCACTCTACCCAGGGGGACAGCTTGAGGCTCTGTCTCAAAAAAAAAAAAAAAAATTGCCCTAAGCCCTGTTACCATAGCCTGTGCTATCTCCTGTACTTGGAACACTTTTCCAAGTGAGACTCAGTTAAATGGCACCTCTTCCAGGAAGTTGTCTTTGATCACCCAGGCTAAAGTAATTTGCCCCATTTTTCTCTTTCATAGTACCTTGTCCTTCACAGCTAAGGTGACCATATGGTTGATTGTCCAACCTGGAACTTTTTTTTTTTTTTGAGACAGATTCTCACTTTGTCGCCCTCAGTAGAGTGCTGTGGGGTCATAGCTCACATCAACCTCTAACTCTTGGGCTCAAGTGATTTTTTTGCCTCACCCTCCTGAGTAGCTGGGACTATAGGCACCTGCCACAACGTCCAGCTATTTTTTTTTTTTTTTTTTTTGAGACAGAGTCTCACTTTATCACCCTCAGTAGAGTGCTATGGTGTCACACAGCTCACAGCAACCTCCAACTCCTGGGCTTAAGTGATTCTCTTGCCTCAGCCTCCTAAGTAACTGGGACTACAGGTGCCTGCCTCAGCGCCTGGCTATTTTTTTGTTGCAGTTTGGCTGGGGCTGGGTTTGAACCCACCACCCTTGGTATATGGGGCAGCGCCCTACTCACTGAGCCACAGGTGCTGCCCCCAGCTACTTTTTTTGTGACGAGGACTTACTCTGTCTTAGACTAGTCTCAAACCTGTGTGCTCAGGCAATCTACCCGCCTCGACCGCCCAAGTGCTAGGATTACAGCCAGGCCAATTAATAGTATTTTTTGTAATTATAATTGTGTATTATTTGTTTACTTGTCTAATATCTGTTTCACTGAACTTTATTCTGTGAGGATGGGAGTCATACCTGGGCAGCTGTCTTTCTTTTAAGTTTCTTAAATTGGTGTGACCTAAGGTTTTCATTCTAGATCGTCTTGTAATAATGTATATTCTCTTGTCTCTCTTGGGATTGTGGTGAGTTTGCTACAATTCACCCAAGCAAGGAAACACTTAGGTAGCTGAAACAATAGAGAGTGACTGAGGCTAGTGAATTTAGTTACCTCAGATCTGGAGTTCCCTTCTTGTCAGATTGCAGGGCAATGCCACTTGTTTTTGTGATGGCCAAGGGCAGACTGGGAAAAGTCTTGTGTTTCATTTTGAAGGCTGTTGTTGTATGCAGGATGTCCTATAGATTTTTGAAACTTTGACTTAGTTACCTCCTACTCCTACTAAATTATAAGAGCTCTGTGTGTGGTCTTCGATTAGTGCATGAAATTTTATTTGTTTATAATAAAAATAAATAAATGAAAAACAGGATCTTGGTTTGTTGCCCAGGCACGAGTGCTATAGTGTGATCTTAGCTCATTGCAATCTCTAGCTCCTGGGCTCAAGTGATCTTCCTACCTTAGCCTACCAAGGGAATTACAGGTGTGAGCCACCTTGCCTGGCCTATTAGTGCATAAAATTCTTAAATATTTGAAAGAAATCATTTATTCCTGGTGTACATTAAAGAGCAAAATAGGTTCTAAATTCTCCTTTGGTGTTTATAGGGTAGGAGAATTCTGTCACTGGACTTGTAGTGAATAGTAAAGATTTTCTCAAAATTAAAAGATACTAGTTTCTGCTCCTCTTCTTCTTCTTTTTTTTTTTTTTAAGAGAGACAGGGTCTCACTTTATTGCCCTCAGTAGAGTGCTATGTTACCACAGCTCATGGCAACCTGCAGTCCTTGGGCTTAGGCGATTCTTTTGCCTCAGCCTCCTGAGTAGCTGGGGACTACAGGCGCCCACGACAGTGCCTGGCTATTTTTGTGTTGCAGTGTGGCTGGGGCCGGGTTTGAACCTGCCACCCTCCATATATGGGACCAGCGCCCCACCCACTGAGCCATAGGTGCCACCACTAGTTTCTGCTCCTCATTTATTTATTTCTTTGAGACAGAGCCTCAAGCTGTCACCCTGGGTAGAGTGCTGTAGCATCACAGCTTATAGCAACCTCCAACTCCTGGGCTTAAGCGATTGTCTTGCCTCAGCCTCCCAAGTAGCTGGGACTACAGGCATCTGCAACAATGCCTGGCTATTTTTTGGTTGTAGCCATCATTGTTTTTTGGTGGGCCTGGGCTGGATTCGAACCTGCCAGCTCAGGTGTATGTGGCTAGAGCCTTAGCTGCTTGAGCCATAGGCGCTGAGCCACTGCTCTTTATTTTATTTTATTCACTTATTTATTTTTTTGAGATAGAGTTTCACTATGTCACCCATGGTAGAGTGCCGTGGTGTCACAGCTCGCAGCAACCTCAAACTCTTGGGCTTAAGTGATTATCTTGCCTCAGCTTCTCAAGTAGCTAGGACTACAGGTGCCCACCACAATGCCTGGCTACTTTTTGATTGCAGTTATTGTTTAGCAGGTCCGGGCTGGGCTCGAACTCACCAGCCTTGGTGTATGTGGCGGGCTCTCTACTCACTGAGCTACGGGTGCCAAGCCTTATATTATTTATTTATTTATATTTAATTTTTTTGTTGCAATTTGGCCGGGGCTGGGTTCCAACTTGCCACCCTCAGTATATGGGGCCGACACCCTACCCACTGAGCCACAGGTGCCGTCTGCCTTATTTTATTTTTTATTTTTTTTGAAACAGAGTTTCACTATGTCATCCTTGGTAGAGTCGTTACAGCGTACAGCAACCTTAAACTCTTGGGCTTAAGCGATTCTCTTGCCTCAGCCTCCCAAGTTGCTGGGGCAACATGGTCCCGCCACAATGCCCAGATATTTTTTTTGTCTTAGTTGTTGTCGTTTAGCTGGCCCAAGCTGGGTTCGAACTTGCCAGCCCTGGTGTATGTGGCTGGTGCCCTAGCCACTGAGGTGTGGGTTCTGAGCCATAGTTTCTGCTCTTGTGATCAACAAATGCCACCATTTAGAGGGGCTAAAATGTTGTGGGTAGGACTGTTAAGTAGGAACTAAGAGGCAATTATCTTTTCAAATATAAATAGCTCTTGGTTATTTAGTTTGTGGATTATCTTGCCTATGGGGTTTTGTTTTCTGCTGGTCAGTTTTTTTTTCTTTCTTTGAGACAGAGTTTCACTTGGTTACCCTTGGTAGAGTGCTAAAGCGTCTTAGCTCTCAACAACTTCAAACTTTTGGGTT